AGCCTGGACAACAGAGCAAGGCTCCATCTCTAAAAATAAAGGTAAAAGGAGCTCACGAAGGTGTTTAGAGAACCACTGATGAACTACATAAAAGCCACACCAAAAGGAAAGCTGTCTTATCTACCTCAAGTTAAAGGTAATAAAAAATGCTTTGTTCAGTATCAACGCCTAAGGCTGAAGCAGCCCCTCTCCTCAGAAAGAGCTGGCAAAGCCGCTTCCTATCTTTCCCATGGAAACATCACATCTGCAGGAGCTTGATTTTAGACTTCCAAACTCCAGGACTGCAAGAAATACATTTCTATTGTTTATGGGCCACCTACGATGTGCCATTTTCTTACAGCAGCCAGAATGGACTAAGACCAGTGGCTCAGCGCAGAGAAAGTAACATAGAGAACTACCCTCTCTGGAGGAGGAGGCTGGTTTTTAAAATTTATTTATAACGTGATTCTTTCTTCTCTCTTACAGGGTCCTCCGTCTCCATCAGACAGACCTGTTCCCTGTGTGTGCATGCTTCCCTCTGTCTATTTAGTCTATAGAATCCCAACGTTATCTTATGATTGAGAAAAAATCATCATCTAAAATTACATGCTAAAGCTCAATACAAAATCTTATACTTGAGTTTAGGTCTTTTATTAGCCTGGTTTCTTTGTACTCCTTTCTGCTGAAAGTATCTGAAAAAATATTAATCTCTCTTCTTATTGTGAGATGCTCTTTTCCAAGTCATCTGAGATGCCTGTTCTTTCTTCAAAGAATTTTATTCACAATATGTCTAATGGAACTTGGCTTGGGAGGAAAAAAAGTGACTAAAAGATGAAAATGATTTTTTAAAAACCTCACAAATTGTATAAATGACAGCCAAAAAGCTTACTGAATTACTTTAAGCCAAAAAAACAGCAACAAAAAAAAAGCAAACGTTAAAAGAGCCCAGTGGCTTGACAGGATATCAAGAGATCCTTTAATCCCATTTTCTCCAAGAAGCAACCATCCCTTTTGGGTATCTATCCCATTTTGAGGTCTTCCAAGGTTTTAACAATCAGCTTTGAGCCAGAAACATTTCTTTATGTCTAACAAAGTTAAGCAAAGCACGTGATCAATCACAGCGCTTCATTCTGCGTAAAAATCCCATTCTTCTTTTGCACTTTGTCCAAACATGAATAACTGTTAGCATGTTTATCACAAAAGGCCAACCTCCCCACCCCATAATACTTACAACTCTCAATAGGAAAGCCCTGCACGGACGGTGGCACAGTCTCAAAGTTTGTGTCCCCACCCCCTCCAAAAAATTCATATGTTGGAACCTAATCACTAAAGTGATGGCATTAAGAGGTGGGGCTTTTGGGTGGTGATTAGGCCATGAGGTATGGGGGAGACCTCATGATGGGACTAGAGCCCTTATGAAAGAGGGCTCTGAGAGCTGCCTATCCCTTCTACCCTATGAGGACACAGAGAGACACCTATGAACCAGAAAATAGCCCTCGCCAAACACTGAATCTGCAGGAGCTTGATTTTAGACTTCCAAACTCCAGGACTGCAAGAAATACACTTCCATTGTTTATGAGCCACCCAGGCTATGGTATTTTCTTAAAACAGCCTGAACAAACTAAGACCAGTGGATACAGCACAGAGCAAGGGAACTTTACTTGGCCATTGAGAGAAAGGGCTGGAAAGAAGTGGAGCTGAAATGAGCAAACCATCCACATCCCTGTCACATCTTCCATTACCCATCAAAGGATGACACATGTGCTCCAGTAGCAATTGTCTGTGCTGAGACCTGGGAAATACCCACAAAGAACCAGTCAAGTTCCTGTCTTCAGGGAAATTGCCATATATTCTTGCTTTCTGTTCCCTCCCAACTTTCCCCTTTCTCGCCTCTTCTGCCTCTGTCCCCCTCTCTCCACCACCTCCCTTCTCCCCACTCCCTTCCTTCCAATCCCTCTTCTTACCCTTCCTCTGCTCCTCCCTCCTATATCTTAGATGCATACACACCACCATTACCACCACCACCACCACCACCACAATGGCCATCATGATCATCACCATTGCCACCACGACCACTGCTACCACTGCCACCACCACCACCATCACCATCACCATCACCACCAATGTCACCATCACCACGACCATCACCATCACAGTTGCCACCATCACCATCACAATCACCACCATCACCATCACCACCACCAGCACCACTTTTACCATCACCACCATCACTACCACAATGGCTACCATCATCATCACCATTGCCAGCACCACCACTGCTACCACCGCCACCACCACCACCATCACCACCACCATCACCATCACCACCACCACCACCATCACCATCACCACCACCACCATCAGTCACCATCACGACTACCACCATCATCACCACCATCACAATCACCATCACCACCATCACCACCAACGTCACCATTACCACGACCATCACCATCAGTCACCACCATCACCATCACAATCACCACCACCACCACCATCACCACCACCACCAGCAGCACCACCACCATCACCACCACTGTCACCGTCACCATCACCGTCACCACCACCACCACCATCACCATCACCACCCACCACCATCATCACCACCATCATCACCACCATCACTACCACCACCACAATTGGCACCATTATCATCACCATTGCCACTACCAGCACTGCTGCCATCACCACCATCACCACCACAATCGCCGCCACCACCATCACCATCACAATCACCATCACCATCATGACCACCATCATCACTACCACCACCACCATCACCACCATGACCACCGCCACCACCCACCACCTTCATCACCACCATCACTACCACCACCATCATCATCACTATCACCACCACATTTATTTGTTCTATGCAATCAAGGAGCCAATTAAATACATCAACAAAGATCTGACATCCGTTCAGTGGCTGTTAAGGGTCAGAGGCTATGAAAACAGAAAAGAAAATATTCATCACTTCCTCAAATGCTAGAAACTCCTCATGGTAGGAATGAGTAAAAGGTAATTTTATATAGATATATTTTATGTATATATGTAACCACATATGTATTATACATACATATACTCACATAAATCTAAGTATTTGTATAGTTGTGTATGTGTATATAACTAAACAATTACTGAACTAACCGCTAATCTTTAGGTTTTTTATTGTAAAATAAAATAGAAACTTTTCTAATCATTCCTTATAAGACCTATTTTTTAAAGTATTTTGCTCTTCTCTGAGACAGTCACAACTCTCCAATACTTTTTCAAATATAGAGACTAATACTACCATTGACACAAATAAGATTCAGCAAATGTTAAAGAAATGTTTTACTTCTTTTGGTAAGCATAAAATCTTTCGAATCATTCATAAACACTTATCACGGATCAGTTAAAGTTTGGCAAGCCTGATCTATCCCTAGGGAAATTAATCTCTTCCTCCCCTGAGGCGCCAACACTCCTCACTTGAACAGTCCTTTGGGACTTACACATTTGTCTCTCCCGTTTCAGTGCTGGCTTCCGTGAGGAGCCAGTTCCTCTTAGAATCCCCTGGATCAGCTTGGTCCTACACAGATCAGGCGCTCTAAAAATCGCTGACCGAGGAGAAGTTAGAAACAATCCTTAATTGTCTTTAGAGAATCATTTTCTTAGAAATAAGAAATGTGACTCAGAGGAAACATAAGTAGACATACCAGGAAAATGGAAAATCTCTACCATAGCAGCACATCACCAAAACAGAGGAGGAAAACACCCACTTCTAGAGTTTATCCCATTCATATAACTTAGCACTTGGTCAGTGGCTCTAATGAGGGGCTTAGAGGCTTAAAATGAAATGAAATACACATAATAATTGTTCCGACATAAGAAAGGATCAATGGAATAAAGCTGTAACATGATAGTTATTTATATTGCACCTTGTATTCTCAGGTGGTTATCCTAAAACCTGTATGAATGCATTTCTAGCACAAGCTAATTTTTTTGTTGCCAGGAAAAAGAAAAGTCTTAATGTTTGGGCTTTATAACCAATTCTCTACCATGGGTTTTGACTCCAGGATATCAGATGGCCTTTTAGCCACATTGCTGCTCATAAACAAGGGAAGTCAGGAAGAGCTCTCCTTTATTCAAGCAGAATTTTTAAAGTAAACATGATTAAATGTGACCTAAACTAGAATTTCTATAAATTATGTATGTCATTGATCATAACAAAACTTAGAAAACATGGTATTTTAAGATGTTATTACTAACACTTTGGGGTTAAAATGTCTGGTTATAACCTCCTAGTCCTTAATCATATTGCCCAATAATCCGACTCTACTTTCTAAAATCAGAAGTTACATAGATATTTTCTGAATAAGAGTTAATTTTATCTTGATCTGTGAAATAGTTTTTCCTCACAGTGTAGAAGTCATGACCATCAGTAGTGCTGCTCAGGAGAAGCTAGTTTAAATCAGGGCTCAGGGATGAGAAAGTCAGTTAGCAACGGGAGGAATCCGCTTTCAGCCTTGTGCGCGTCAGTCTTCACCTGCTGGGTCAGAGCCAGCGCACCTGTGGCTGAAAGACACAAGGCTGGCACAGCACTCTGGTGGGTTAAGGGGGGGATTATAACCGTGTTGTCTTAAAGGAGAACCAAACAGCGCCTTCCAAAATCACATCAGAGACAGTAAAGACAAAACACGATGACTATACTTTTCCTCTAAGAATGCATGTCAGCAGCTCTGCCCTCTGTCTCAGTCACCCCAAGCATAATCAGCATAACTGCATTTCCTCGCCTTTCCAGATCTTTTGATCTCGCCACCCCAGCTAAGTTTGAATGCAGCACGGAAACACCTGCGACGCCCTCTGCCCTCGCTGAGGCTGACCCTCATTTCCACCCTAACGGTGGGAGGCTCATCTCAAGCACCCTTAGCCATGCTGAGGACCCTAAATGTTACAGGCTTTGGGAGGATGTGAGGACAAGCAGAAGTAAGGATAAACTAAGCTCTGGAAAGTAACATAGATATATTTGTGATCATTACCTTTTTCTTGGATGTTTCAGACTTCTTTGACATGTTCTTCAACTTTTTATGCAAATGATTAAGGACCTGAAAGACACAAATGAAATCAGTTCACTTCGCCTCTCACAACCCACGCCTATTTTGCATTAACCATTATTGACATGCTGAAAATGGTAACATCATTATTTGTAAGACTATTCAGATTAGGTGATTAGGTGACAATGAAAACAAGTTGCCAAATACATTCTTTTCTAACATTTAGGAGCGTCCCAGGAAGGATGGTGCGCAGCCAGACAAGCTCGCAGCCAGAGCACCTGTTTGCAAGGAGTGCCCGGTGCATGGAGCTCTGGGGTTTTGTCCAGAAAGAGCCATGCCATGAACCACTCATGCATGCTTCTTAGTCTATTGTCTGCCTCAGTTTCCCCCAGGAGCCCACATAGTAACAAACACCAGGTCCCTGCTACATGTCAGGCACAATGTTAGATCCTGGATATGTTGAAAAACTAGAGGTTTGCCCTTCCAAAATTCATCATCTGATGGGGAAAGAAGTCAAGCAAACAAAGGAAGACAGTATCATCAGATGTGTCTTCAGTGTATCCAGGCCAAAGATTGCCTGCATTTGTGCCAAAATATTCTTTCTTTCTTCCTCATATGGGCTGCCTCCACTGCAATTCTGTCAGCAAAGCACCACCCATCAGGCCTCCTTTCATTCTTTACTCAAATCCTAACCACTGTGCTGTGCTTTTAAACAACTTATTGGGGATTCAGCGTCACTGATGATTTATAAACTGTTTTTGCAAGGTTTTACAACAAATGTCCCTGTCAGGGACTCTCCCTGAGACACAGTGGCTCTCTTAATTAAAGAAATCATTTCTGCCTTTTTTTTTTTTTTTGCCAGTGTAATACTCAGAAGAAATATCATGAAAATTTGGAGTTTTCGATGTAGGTATTTCCAACATATATTTGGTCTTAGACCACATTGTCAAGCTGGCAGAACTGTGACTTAAGTTCGTTTCCATATCCCATCTGAGAGACAATATAGAAAAATCGAGCCCCAGGGTGGCTAAGTGCTTTAGATCATCTATAGATTGCTGAGAAGTCTCTCAAGGAACCAGAAGCCATGTTGCAACCAGTTCTTTGTTCACTGCAGCATTGTAGCATGGAAGTCATTTAATTGAATTGAACTTATTGCAAAAGCCCACTCCATTCAGCCAGATGAGGCACTTCCAGAGCAATTAGTCAGACCCTACCTGGAAGCCACAGGATATATTTACCAGCTGCCCAGGCCCTACACAAGTGAAAAAGAGGCCATCAAGGAGTATGAATTTCTGACTTCAAATTCTCTCCACTTCTGAGATGCTTCCCATTCCAGAAATGACTCAGCTACATCCACAACAAAACAAGTGTTTGCTTGCCGCAGGAGTATTTGGGAAAACACTCAACACATTGACAAGGTGTTCCTTGACTGTTCTGCCTGCAGAAATCAGAGTACCAAAACCTGAATGCAAGGCAACCACAGAACAGGAGCTTTCCTGCAGGAGCAAATGAGAGCATTTTGGCTGGAGGAGGCAGGACCCTGCCCAAGAGGACAGGATGCCTAGGTGGCTCAGTGGCAGCTTCCCAATGGGAAACAGCAGGACAACACTGGCCACTGAGGACAGGGGACGCAGGAGAGACCAGAGGACAGGCCACACAAGCAAAAATTCAGAGAGGGACACCTGGACAAATCACAACAAAACATCCAGATGTGACCAGCTTCATAACGCTGCCAAGCTCCATCCGTTCCTTCCAAAAAGGAATTTGGATCCCAGCTCAGCCACTTCAAAACACGTCAGTATGTTGAATGCTGTCGAATAAAGAAAATACTCAAGTATCTTTTTTCTCTTCAATGGCTCATCCTGTGAGCACAGGATGATATATCATGATGCGCCCCAGTGAAGGTCTTGTCAGCAAAGTAGGAAGAATGTAGATATCATGATAGGTTATGATGATGTTTAGGAATACAGTGACAGTAGCATCCTGGGGTCTCTTGGTGAGTCTGTAAGTTTCTGAGCATGCACAGGAAGGTGCCAGCTCAAAGCAAACCCAGGTCCTGCTGGGCATATCCTGGGGATTTGGAGTGATTTCGTGGGCTGGGCCCATTGAGTTTATCCTCATGGTAGAACAAGGAGGCTCTGGACAGTAATTCACTCTAAGGAAAGTGACCCAGGGTCACAGCCCTGTACAAAAACAGCTCCACAGCAGCAGAGGGGAAGGGCTCCTCAGGGGACACTGGGCGGACCACTTCAACTTATCCTCCAGCCCATCTATTCGATGAGTTTCCCAGAAACTGGTGCAAAAAACCGTTCCATTACAAACTTGTAAGAATTTGGAGGCAAAAGGCAACTCTAGAATGCAATTGTCTTGAGTCTTTTCATTTGCTTAAAGCATCATAACCTCAGGTTCCCTTTCAGCCATTTGTGTTTTTCAGGTTATCCAACAGACCTGGAGTTCGGAGAACAGCGAATCCTGAAACTCACACGCAAGTAGCAAAATCCTTAACTGGACGGTGCACACCTGATGCCTGAGCCAAAGAAAAGCAACTTGAAACAACTAATTATCTCAAGCTACCCATGACAGCCCCAAAATGAACTTGCAAATATTATGCTGAACGCAAAATATTTTTCCAGTTATGCTTGGAAGCAAACTATTTCCATATTTTAAAAATCCAAATTCATTACATTTAAAAAAAAAAAACTGTTTTGAAAATTTTGCCCTTCTGTGTGACTTTCATAGACTTGCAAATGACAGAAATGTAACCTGATTTATTCCTAAAAGCTGACTTTGTCATTTCCAGTAAGAAGACTTTAGTTCTTCTCCCCAAAGCTTCAGGGGCATAAGGAAGAATGAGCTTCAGTTCTAACGCAGTAATTGGGAACTTGACAGCCATGTTTTCAGAATCCCAATCTCATACTTCTGTGTCCTCAAGGCCTCACCAACTGTCCAGTCCTCGGGAGACTGGGAATCCCTGTGGTAAATCCTTCCTGAATCATTCACCAGCTTCATAATCTGGGCCAGTTGTTCTTTTCCAAAGCTCTTTTTTCTTAAATAATAAAATCTGGGTAAATAACAAAATAGCCCCAAGCCACAGAGATGTGCCAATTAAATGAGATGGTGCACATATCAGGTAATTGTGCTATGTAAAATAGCCTTTGTTTAGCATTTGCAGAAGACCACATTAATAAACCAGCCATTTTCCAAAGAGCTAGAGTTATTTTCCAAATTCCCTTACTGCTACGATATATATATAGATATAGATATAGATATATAGATATATATAGATATATAGATATATAGATATATATTTTTTTAACAGAGTCTCGTTCCATCACCCAGGTTGGAGTGCAGTGGTGCCATCTTGGCTCACTGCAACCTCTGCCTCCCAGGTTCAAGTAATTCTCCTGTCTCAGCCTCCTGAGTAACTTGGACTACAAGTGCCTGCTACCACGCTCAGCTAATTTTTGTATTTTTAGTAGAGATGGGGTTTCACCTTGTTGGTCAGGCTGGTCTTGAACTCCTGACCTCAGGTGATCCACCTGCCTCAGCCTCCGAAAATGCTACTATATTTCTTTATAATTACCTTTTGGTGCAGGCTGTCCAGATAATATCTAAAAACATTACAATTCAAAATAGACACAATCTACAGAGATAAACTAGATGAAGAGAAACAGGTGGCTTATAGTAAACATTTGTGTTGAGAAGAATACCTTGTGAACTGAGTGTTGAAAGTTCTTATTCTACCTAGTCAGGTTATTTGTGGTTGTATAATCACAGACTTATGGAAACAGAATGAGAGACAGAGAGAGGTGAAGTCAGGTGGAACCTGGTAATAGAGCTGCATTTCCGAGAGTGACGCTCTGGAGCTAATAGGGTGGGGACACTGGGGTTTACCCTGAATCGCCGTCACCTGATTATTAAAATAAGCGCTTGTTTATGCAAGTAGAAACACGTGTGTCAAACGCTGAAGCCCTTTTCATCAGTATAAAATCTTCAAGCCCTTGTGGACTTCATGACAAAGCATGTGGGTGCTGAGCTCTGCCCGGCTATACAACGGGAAAAGCCATCTCCCAGGAAGGAGGCCCCGGCCGCTGAAGCCACACGCGTGGACGGGGCCTCTGCTACATTTAGGCGAAGATCCGCCGCCTCAACCTCTCCCCGCTGTCCAGGAGACCTTTCTAAAAAAGATTGAAATGGAGAAGCCCACAGCTTGAGTCCATTCCATTCAAAGTTCCCTGCAGCCTGCGGTCAGGACCCTGTCAAGAAACGCCCTTTTGCCACTTGAGTTTCTGAAGCTAAGCTTCAGAATAAATAAAATTCGAAGCTCTGTCCCTGGGATCAGCGGTTTCACACCGTCCGGAGTGCGCAAAGCCTTCGGAGCAAGGGCGAACTGCGCACCACGGGGGAGAGGGGCAGCCCACGAGTCACCCCCACGGCCCCTGAGAGCCCGGGAGGGCGGTGGGGACCCGCCAGCCCCGCGAAAGGCCCGCGCTCTGGTGACCACGCGCCCTCTCAGGTCCCACAGCTCCGCGGCGGTCACTTCCCTGCGCAGCTGAAGTGGTTTAAGAGTCGCTGGAAAGGAGCGGCGTTTCCGGTGCTGGGAAGGACGCAGCCTCGCCGGCACAACGCCCTGTCAACCTGGGGGTGTTGAAGGGCCGCCGTGGCGAGGAAGGGGAGGGAGGGGAGGAGAAACTTGTTCTACCAGACCGCTTGAACGGCAAACTTTCCCCAGCACGTCTCAGACTCCAAGTAACTTTCTTGCGCAAGCCAATGGCGCGCTCCAGCAGAGGCCGGGGAACCTCTCCGCCCAGATCCGCCCAGATCCGCCCAGCACCGCCCCGGGCGAGGCCACGGCTCAGGCAGGGCCACGGGACCCTGAGACCTCCGGCATCCCCCACCCCCGCCCCTCGGCCCTCCCTCGCGCGTCAGGGCCCCGCGCCCGCCGCGCCGGCCCCGCACCTTGGCGTAGCAGAAGCTGATGAGCAGGAGTGGCAGCAGGTAGCCGAAGACGAAGGTGCACACCACGTAGGCCTTCTTGTGGCGAGGGTCGGGCCACTGCTCCCAGCAGAAGGTCTGGTTGCTGGCGCGCGGGTGGAAGAGGCCCTGGTGGTAGGCCACGGGCGAGGCCATGGCGATGGACAGCGCCCAGATGCAGCCCACGCCCAGCAGCGCGTTGCGGGACACCCTGAGCGAGGAGGAGCGCCGCGAGTGCACGATGGCCACGTAGCGGTCCACGGACATCGCGGCCAGCGTGAAGATGCTGACCAGCATGGACACGGTGAAGAAGTAGTGGGTGAACTTGCAGATGAAGGCGCCCAGCACCCAGGTGGGCAGCGCGTACACCGTGGCCTGGAAGGGGATGCAGAAGAGCAGGTAGGCCAGGTCGGCGATGCTCAGGTTGAGGATGAACAGGTTGGTGGTGCTCCGCGGCTTGCCCGGCTTGCTGCGCGCCAGCACCGTGATCACCAGGCTGTTGCCCAGCACGCCCAGCGCGAAGATCAGGCCGAACACCACCAGCGTGGCGAAGTTCTCCGCGCCGATGCGGAACGGCGGCCCGCGCTCCCGGGCGGAGGGCTCCGGCCAGCTCGCGTTGCCCTCGCTGAGGTTCCCGGCCGCCAGCTCCATGGCCCGCGGGGTTGCCCCGGCGAGCGGCGGGGCGCGCGGAGACCGAGGGACGGCGGGTGCCTAGCGGCGAAAGTGGGCGCCAGGGGTGGCCCGGGTCCCGGCGCGGAGCACGGAGCGCCGGAGTTTCCGAGCCTGGGCTTCTCCGGAGGCGCGCGCCGGCGGGCGCGAGGATCGGGCGGCCGCGCCTGGTGGCACCGTCTTCACGCCGGGTCCTTCTGAGAGAGGGCGGGTCGGGAGCGCGGAGCCGGACCTTCTGGGGAAGGGACAGTGGTCTCTAGAGCTCTGGGGTCCCCTGCCCGGGCGCCTCCGGCAGCTGCGCGACCACCGAGCCTGGGAGGAGGGACCCGCCGGCCGCAGCCGCGCAGGTGGAAACCCTTCCCGCGCCTTACCGCTGCAGGTCTCCGCCGGCCGTTTTCCCTCGCTCCGGCGGCGCTGCGGGCTGCACCTGTTGCTCAGAGCCGCTCCTTCCCGCGGCGCTTTCCGGGCACCTGCCCAGAGCGCAGCAGCGGAGCCGACGCTGCAGCAGACAGGGCCCCCCGCGCCCCCTCGCCACTGGGCTGGCGCCGCCGACTCCCTCCCGGCCTCTGCAGGGACTCCGAGTCGTCCACAGGGCGAGAGCGCTTTTGGGGGCTTCCTGGCGGTGGACGGAGTCGGGTGCCAGGGGCCCCCCCTGCTGCCACCAAGGGGCGAAGACAGCCGGCTGAAATCCGCGCCCCTGGAAATCACAGTGCTGGAGGGGAGACTGGACGGATTCGAGGAGGCTAGGTCGCCGCCCACCTCCTGGCTGGACCCGGCGCGCGCTCGCCTCCACGAGGTGCCGACTGCTCCGCTGGCTGGAGGCGGGGCTGCCGGGTGCCGCGGGCAGGGCAAAGCTGGCGGGGGTGGGGGGGGGATGCGGAGGGGTGCGCTGGGCTCCTCACCCGTCAGTACCGTTCCTGCTCCGCCTCCCGGGGTGTCAGTCCACGAGAACACGTCTGTCCGGGGAGTAACCCCAGGAAACCGAGGCTGACGCCGCTACCTGGAGTTTTGTCCTGAGCCCGCGGCCTGCTAGGGAGGGGCAAGTGGGAGGGAAGGAGGTGTGTGAAGCTTCTCTGTAGACATGGATGGCCTCGAAGGGGAAGGCTGCTCACGCCACTCAGCCTCCATCATGTGCCTTGCATTACTCATCTGAGGGACATAAACTGTAGCAATGACAAACACAGTATTTTTTAGGTAAAAGAACGCGTTTAGTATCTTACTGCCGTAAATGTGAATTTGCCAGAAAGAAAGTAAGCCGTTTCCGGACAGCAGGGTGAGTCGCATTATCTTTGTAACCTTGGTGGCTCCCAACTAGAGAGCTGACACTGAGTCCTTTATTTGCAGTGATTTGTCTGTTTTCACTTTCCAAAACACCGATGCATTTCCAGCATTCTCCGTGTGGTGATTGTCCATCATGTTCCGACACAGTGCCTGAGGGAATGGGTCATCCAAAGACCGAAGAGGACAGGGGCTATTTGCCTTGGGGAGTTGGGGAAGCAGGATCTTATTTTTCTATCTTGCTAGCTCTGTTCTGCCTCATTTCCAGATAAATTTTGAGGCAGTTCATTGAACACCTATGTATTTTATCATTTATTGTTAGGGAGTTCCTTGCAAGGGGATTGTTCTATTTACACACATTCTCCGGAAGACAAATTGACTGTAAGCAACTTGCCTATTTGGGTATCTTGCTAAAGCCAAGAGTGTTCTTACCTGCCCTAACCTGAGAGAATGCCTTGAAACTTCCTTAGGTGATCTTGCCAATCGGTATTGCTGTTCTTCCCTGAGATGCTCTCTGACCCAGGCTTTCCAGGTATCATGTTGTATTGGACAGTTCTGTTGTGTTGAAAGTTAGTTACCACAGAGCATGGTCGCTCAGGCCTGTAATCCCAGCACTTTGGGAGGCCGAGGTGGGCGGATCACCTGAGTTCAGGAGTTCGAGAGACTGGCTAACATGGTGAAACCTCGTTTCTACTAAAAATACAAAAAATTAGCCGGGCCTGGTGGCTCGTGCCTGTAATCCCAGCTACTCGGGAGGCTGAGGCAGGAGAATCACTTGAACCTAGGAGGTGGAGGTTGCAGTGAGATGAGACCTGTCCATTGCACTCCAGCTTGGGCAACAAGAGCAAAACTCCATCCCAAAAACAGAAAAATAATTGTAATATGATTTGAGTTTTTAAATTATGAACTATTTTGACATGAGACAGATAATAAAATTACATTGAATACCAATGTACCCACCATCCAGGTTGGAATAATTTTAAACATTATTAATAGAGTTGAAGTCACTTTTACATACTTTCAACCACAACCTCCACGCCTCCCACTATCTCCAAGTAATGTACATTTGTTGTCAGTCACTTCTTTATACGTTTTTAGCATATGTATATGGTCTTAATGTATTGTGGTGTGGTACTTTTTTTTTCTTTTTATTTTGCTTTAACATTATGTGGTTGGTATTATGGTACATGTTTTGTTTTGTTTTTGCCTTAATTTGTCTGTTATTACTATAGGTACACCAATATTCTTTGCTTTGTGTTTGCCTCTTATATCTTTTGCAGCCTTCCTATGTTATGTTCTGTGATTTCAAGGAATCTCTTTGCTACAGCCCATAACTGAATTATTTTAAAACACAATTTGACAATCTCTAGTTTTTAACTGGTGAGTTTAGTTCATTTATATTTATTGCTATTACTAATCTACATGGATTTATTTTTAGCATTTTATTTTGTTCTTTTTGTTTTCTATTTCTGTGCTTTTTTCCTCTCTTTTCATGATGTCTTTCCAACTGCATTTTAAAGTGTTTTCTCCCTCCCTTACTCTCTCCATTCCTCTGTGTCCTTAAACAGGGAAGAAATGTGGTCTACTTTTATTATATTACTGGTTACCCTTGAGTGCCTACTATGTGCCAGGAACTACTGTAGGTTCTGGAGATAGAGCAATTAACGCAATAAAGTTCTTTCTTTTACTGATTTTACATTTTATTATGGACATAATATTTAAAAAGAAGCAAAATGATAATATAGAAGTAAAATGTGGTAAATACTACTGATATAGTTTAGATATCTATCCTTGCCATCTCATATTGAATTATCCCTAATGTTGGAGATGGAGCCCAGCAGGAGGGTTTGAGTCAATGAGATGGATCCCTCATGGCTTGTACTGTCCTCAGGACACTGAGTCTCAAGATCTGGTTATTTGAAAGTGCTAGGCACCTCCTCCCTTCTCTCTCTTGCTCCTGCTTCTGCCATGTAAGATGCACCTGCTCCCCCTTCACCTTCTGCCATGATTGGAAGCTTCCTGAGGTCTCCCCAGAAGCTGAGCAGATGCCAGCACCATGCTTCCTGTACATCCTGCAGAAGCATGAGCCAATTAAACCTCTTTTATTTATAAATTACCCAGCCTCAGGTATTTCTTATGCCAACACAAGAATGGCCTAATACAACCCTAAAAGAGAAGAATAAGAGATAGAGAGCAATTAGAGTGTCGCAATATACAGGATGATCAGGAGGAACATCAGAAAAGCTGGCAATTGAGCAGAAGCCTGAAGGAAGTACAGCAGAAAGCTTCTTAAACATGCAGTGTGACACATTCCTGGGAAACAGTGCAGCAGAGAAAGCTGTGTGAAGAACAAGGAGGCCAGTTTTGCTGTCATGGAAACAGCTGGGAAGAGGGTTTGTCCTGCCATGAGGTCAGAAAACATTGGTTGGGAAAAGTGGGGATGGATGATTTTAGACCTCAGAGAGCCAGGAAGGGGCCTAGGACTTCATCCTGAGTCCAGGGAAGTCCTGTAGGGAGCTTCAAGCAGAGAGATGTTATGATCTGACCTGCGATTCAGAACGATGACTCTGGTGTGCAGATGAGAAGGGCAAAGGAAAGAGCAGAAGACCAGCCAGTGAGCTTTCAGGAACCCAGAGCAGATCATCCTAGGTATGGAGGGAAGGGCTTGCATTCTGGATATCTCAATGTTGGAGCAAATGAGTCAGAAATAGGAAGGAGACGGCTGTGTAATATTCCATGGTGTATATGTACAGGTGGGTGTTGAACAATGAGAACACACTGGGACACAGGGAGGGGAGCACTACACACTGGGGTCCGTTGGGGGGAAATGGGGGAGGGGCGGGAGGTGGGGAGGTGGGAAGAGATAGCATGGGGAGAAATGACAGATACAGGAGAGGGGACGGAAGGCAGCAAACCACACCGCCAAGTGTGTACCTATGCAACAATCTTGCATGTTCATCACATGTACCCCAAAACCTAAAATGCAATAAAAAAAAAAAGAAAGAAATAGGAAGGAGACAGTGAAAAGGCTTGAGCTCCATCTCTCAGAACTCCAGGTAGATTTAAGGTATGATAAAAGGAAGAGCAAGGTTGACTCCCACTGTTTTAGTCAACCCTGGAGTTGGACATCGTGGAGGGGAAATCGCCATTTACTGAGTTGACACAGAGCGGAAGGAAGGGGTTTGGAGGTGGGGAGCATCAAGTTAAATTTTAGGTGCTTGTTAGACATGGGATTGACAAGATTGCCATTAGGTGGGTTAGTCTTGAGTTAATGAGAGTGACCAGAGCCAGAGATATGGATTCAGAAGTGACTAAAACTCTATTAATATTAAATAGAATTTAAAATTAATTGTTATCATGCTCCTCATCCCAAGCCATACAAGTTTCAGGAAGCTTTCTAACCCTGGTCACCTTTTCTCATTCTACCTGGTTTTGTTGCCTAATTTCTCCCCAATTAGGCATATTTGTTCTTGTGGGACAGGCACTATCCGTTCGGCTAACCCACATTCTTACCCATGGCTTTCTTCACCTTCCTCTATTCATCTGAAGGCTTGTCCTTGTTTTTAGACAATATGTTTCAAGTTTTTCTTTAGCTATAGTCAATGATAAAAATTGCTCATTTTTCTTCCAAATGGCCCTGATTATTGAATGGGAATTGGCCAGCTGGACAGTTCTTTTCTCCCAGTACATTGAAGCGATTGTTCCACCT